CCTCCTCCTCCTCTTCCTCCTTCTTCCACTTACCCTTCACTTTCCTCTTCCCCTCCCCTCCTCCTCCTTCCTTCTTCTTCCTCCTCTTCCTCCTCCTTCCTTCCTTCTTCCTTCTCCTCCTCTTCTTCCTCCTTCCTTCTTCTTCCTTCTCCTCCTCCTCTTCCTCCTCCTTCCTTCTTCTTCCTTCTCCTCCTCTTCCTCCTCCTTCCTTCTTCTTCCTTCTCCTCCTCCTCTTCCTCCTCCTTCTTCTCCTCTTCCTCCTCCCTTCTTCCTTCTTCTTCCTTCTCCTCCTCTTCCTCCTCCTTCCTTCCTTCTTCCTCCTCTTCCTCCTCTTCCTCCTCCTTCTTCCTTCTCCTCCTCTTCCTCCTCCCTTCTTCCTTCTTCTTCCTTCTCCTCCTCTCTTATTCCATTTCTTCCTGTTGCAGCTGCATTTCAGAAAGCTTCCACTTGAGGGCGCTCAAAACTATTTTTCTCCTTTCAGAAACGTAGTTTTCTGCTGTCTCCTCTCTCTATTTTCTTGCCCGACTTTACAAAGCCAGCCAGCCAGTCTCGTGTTCGCTTCGAGAGGCATTACTAGCAAACTGTATTTTCCCCCACTGGTCAGCCTTACTTAGGCAGAATGGGACATCCTCCAGGCCCTGGGGGAGAAGTTCAAAAAGAAAAAGAAAAATCAGAGGGGCGTTGAGGTTTTCATACATACAAGTCATCCTCAACTTACAACCACAACTGAGCCCAACATTTCTGTTGCTAAGCGAGGCAGTTGCTAAGCAGTTTCTCTCCATTTTAGGACATTTCTTGGCACCATTGTTGAATCAATCACTGTGGTGGTGAAGTTAACAACCATCAGGGATGGGGACAATTAACCAGTGGAACAGAAGTTGCCTTCAGAAATCATTGGTGTTTCATCATTGGAGGTTTTTAAGAAGACAGTGGACAGTCACTTGTCTGAAAGGGTAAATGGTTTCCTGCTTGAATGGGGTTGGGCTAGAAGACCTCCAAGGTCCCTTCCAGCTTCTATTCTATTCTATTTCTATTCTTATTCCTATATTCTATTCTAATTCTATTCTACTGTCACTTTTTCCCCAGGCACCCAGTTCGCCACCTCCGGTTCAACTCCCACAGTCTCATCACGGCCAACGTCCCCAATGAAAAAACTCCCCGAGGTGCCAGCATCACGGACGATGATTTGACCGCTCACCGAAGGTGAGAACTGACCACTCCCAGTGGTACTTTGATCTAAACCGGCAGGAGGCGCCCTGTGACATCACTCTCTCAGTGTCGTTAGACTACAATCCCCAGCAGTCTCGGCTAGGCAATGTTACATGATGGGAGAAGGGTGGCAAGAGGTTCCAGCACCCATTATTATGGGTTGAGCTGGCTAAGGGTGATGGGAATTATAGTTCCGTTGCTATTGGCCTCCCCTCCTCTTGGAATACAGAGCAATTTAGCTACCCAAATCTTGTTTCAAATCTTCTCTTCTTCCCTCCCCTTCCCATTCCTTTCACTCTACTCTTCTTTACTCTGTCCGTCCGTCTGTCCATCTGTCTGTCTGCCCGTCCATCCGTCTGTCCATCTGTCTGTCAGTCCGTCTGTCCATCCGTCCGTCCATCTGTCTGTCCGTCCGTCCATCTGTCCGTCCATCTGTCCATCTGTCTTTCCATCCGTCCGTCCGTCCGTTTGTCCATCTGTCTGTATGTCTGTCCGTCCGTCTGTCCATCCGTCCCTCCATCTGTCTGTCCGTCCGTCTGTCCATCCGTCCGTCTGTCGATCTGTCTGTACGTCCGTCCATCTGTCCGTCTGTCTGTCTGTCTGTCCGTCCGTCCGTCTGTCCGTCCATCTTTCTGTCCGTCCCTCTGTCCGTCCGTCCCTCTGTCTGTCCGTCTGTCCATCCGTCCCTCCGTCTGTCCGTCCGACAAACGGACGGATGGACAGACAGACGGATGGACAGACGGACGGATGGACAGACAGACATAAATGCAATATCAGGGGTTTTCGATTCAATTGTATAGAATGTGAAGGATGTGTGTTTGTGTTTTATTTTTATAGTTTTATAATGTACACTGAAGATGGCATTTAATGTTGCACGAGGTGCAATGACAATATTAAATAAAATCTTAAAAAAAGTTAAATAAATCTCTCCTGTCTACTCTACTCTATTCTACTCTACTCCTGTTCTCTTCTGTAATCTCTTCTCCACTCCCCTCTTCCCTCTCCTCTCTATCTCTCATCACCTTCTCCCTTCCTACCTGTTTCCTCATATTCTGAGCAGACTCCCAAGAAGCTGGATACCAGAGAGTTGACATATCTAGAGTGGTGTTTCTCAGCCTTGGCTACTTTAAGATGAGTGAACTTCATCAATCCCCAGAATCCCCCAAGCCAGGGAATTCTGGGGATAGAAGTCCAGACATCTGAAAGCGGCCAAGATCAAGAAACACCCCTCTAAAGATAGAACAACCAAGGATCACCCAGAGTGCTCCTTCAAGCACATCGGCCAGCTCTGAAGTGGTGTGCTTGCATTTTAATATCTCCTTGGCCCTAGAGAGGATCCAGAAACAACGTGCTTCAATCTTGGCCACTTTTAAGGTGTGCGGACTTCAACTCCCAGAATCCCCCAGCCAGCATGAAACTGAAGTGCCCACCTCTTAATGTTGCCAAGGTTTTTTTTTCCCCAAAAGCTTTTTATTTTATTTTGACAACAAACATTAACAAATACAAACATAAAACATCAAATAAAACCATCTTCCCATTGTACAGTGTGTCGGTTGGTAGATATCTTTTGTGCACAATATCAACAGTCTTTCCCTTCAAGATGCATTACTAAATATTTATATTATATAAATCAACTATACATATTATAACTTCTTATTAGACTTTGTTTATAAATTCATACCATCCTTTTCGAGCAGATCTCAACTTTACAAAACCTAATTCATAATATCATTTCGTTTCATTGAAATCAATTATAGCATATCATTACATTGTCATATCATTACTGTAATATTGTAAATATTATATTTTATTTTTTAATGTTGCCAAGGTTGAAGCACATGGTTTCTGGTTCCTCTCTAGGGCCGAGGAGGTATTAAAATGCAAGACACATCAATTCAAAGTTGGCCCATGGGCTTGAAGAAGCACTCTTGATGGTCCTTCGTTATCAGTCTACTTTACTGTCATTGCACCTCGTACAACAAAATCAAATACCATCTTCAGTGTACATCATGACTATGAAAATAAAACACAAACACACATCACATTCTAGACAATTGAACTGAAAACCCCTGATATTGCATTAATATTGCACTATACAGTAGAATTCAATAGACTTACTGCCCTGGGATAGAAGCTGTTTCTCAGCCTATTTGTCCTTGTTTTTATTATTATCCTGTACCGTCTGCCAGATGGTAATAGTTCAAAAAAAGGGTTTCCAGGACGAGATGGATCTTTGAGGATGTTTTGAACTTTCTTAAGGCAGCGGGAGCTCTAAAGCTCTTCCAAAGAGGGAGATTCTACTTTTATTCTACTTTTAGACTGGTGTTTCTCGACCTTGGCCACTTTAAGATGTGTGGGCTTTGAACTGCTAGGAACCAGGTGGGTTGAAAAGCATTCTGGTTATTTTATTTTCCCTTCTCTCTCATTGCTTCTCGTAGGCATCGAGGTATCATCTACTCCTACGAGTTCTTCGTGGACCAACTGGTGGCAGAGAGCGTCCTTCCTATCTGCCGTTCCTCATACAACGAAACGACGGGCTACAACTACAATATTGGCCTTGTGGTCCCCTACGACAACATCTAGGCAGCGCGGGAAGAAGAAGAAGGGAAGGCCAAAAGTCATGGTTGTCCCAAAGGTGCTTTTTCCAAGAGGCAGCTGGACTTTCTGGTTGTTGTTGTTTGTTGTTGCTGTTTTCTCAACTGAGCAGCTTTTTGGATGAGAAGCGAAACGTCTTCAAGGGAAAGAAAAGCCCAGTGGCCTCTTGGAAAAGCACCTTTGGGCAAAGACCAACTAAGCTGGACTCTGGAGAAGGGGAACCCCCCAAGGATGGAGGTCTTGGGAGGGGACTCGGGCTGCCAAGCAGGCAGCATCAGAAGGGGGACGCGTGGAGTCTCCCCAAAGCTCTAATAACAGCACTGTAGGAACGAAGAGATGGTGGCCCGCAGGAACCATGATAGATAGGCAAGAACCAGGAAGTAATAACAAAGGCTGTAGCCCCAAAATCAGGAGATAGTAACAATGGACAGTAGCCCAAGAATCAGGTGGTAATAACAAAGGCTGTAGCCCAAGAACCAGGAGGTGGTAATAAAGTCTGTTCCCCACACGTACAGAGACCACAGTGGGGGCAAAGGGGGTGTCCATTCCTTGCACCTGTTTCAGCGCTGCTTTTCTGGAGCAGGCACC